GCCACGTGCTAGAGCCATAGGAGTTAGTTTCGATTTTTGCATTTTCTGAGCTACGTTTTTTTAACTTGGATCAATTCTTGCATTTTCTGGGCTCTTTTGTTATACTTGGCTTTGTATAAATTTTGGTGAGCTATTTTTTCCACGGGAAGCATTGTCGAAATTTTTGCAAATCCAAGGAGTTACTCAACTTCTGACTTTTCAAAGTTAAACTTGTCTAAAATTTGTATGTGGCTTAATAAAAATATGAAAAGTCTCCTTTTCTAAAGGGGGTGCTGCCCTAATTTTTGCTAATTAAGGGAGTTGAAAAAAATTGGACTTTGAAAGGTTAAAAGTCATTTCTGTTTTCATATTCGGGGTGATATAAATTCTGGAAAGACACTTTTCCTACGGGAAACGCTATCGAAATTTTCTTAGTTTAAAGGAGATAGATTATATTTTGACAAGTGGCGATTCTGGCGATCCACTCTGTATAGGAGAGATTATGTCAGGGTCTACCTTTGCTTTGGGCACTACTTAAAGGTAGATTCAGGCCTAGTTAATTAGGATGATTTGAGTGAGAATGTGTTATGGAGTTATATTCTCCATACACTTATGATTTTAGCTTAGGGATTGACCTATCATGTGTTACAGGTCCTCTTGACCATTTGGTTGAGGATTTGGATTAGCTTCAGCTTGATCCTACGAGGATCATCTTCTGTTACCATTGATAACAGATCGGTTGCCGATTCGTCGGTCTACGACTCGATTTCCAACTCACCCTCCACACTCAACCTAAAAGGCTTTAGCCCTGATGGCTTTATTGTTTTGTTAAGGTTTTTACCCGGACTTTTATTGAATGGCCATTTAACAAAGGTACTGAGTATTTAATTCTGGGCGGTTGGACTGAAGATTGGGGCTTGCATGGCTAAAGCAAGGGGTATGAGTGCAGGGAATGGTTGGGGTTGACTCCGTGTAGTGTGTGGGCTGTCGTTTGATTGGTTGACGTAATTGCAGGTACGTTCTGTGACTCAGATTCTGGATTTTTTACTGTCTGCGATCACATATATACATATAGTTGTGAAGAACCCCACTGAGATTGTGAGAAGTGATCGTCACATACCTACCCCCTCATATATATATACGTGGGTGCACCTATGATGGGTGTTCGTGTGGCCTAAGAGGCCCCGTGTTAAAGCTTACTCAAAGGTTGGGACTGAGGGACATAAGGAAGATCCTTCCTTTTATCTAGCTGCTTCTTGGGGGTTTCTTAGTCGGACGTTGGCCCTGGGCCGGTATTCAAGATCCTTGTCCAGGACATCCGAAGCCCTAGGCTCTGCAGAGAGTTTGACGAGTCGCCACAGGGGGTTAAAAACCACCTAAGCTATACCCATACCATACTGTTGAGGAAGAGGGAAGAAATTTTAAAAAACGAGGACGACAAGCCCTAACCTAGTCCAGTGTCTCCACAACTCCTTGCCCATTAGCCCAACCCTCCTCCCCCCTACCTTACCTCTCGTGGTTGTTCCCCGTCACTGCCCAACACCCCCCATCTCCCAGTGTGCGCCACTATATCCCACTGTCGACCACGTCGCCAGCTCTCCCATACATACCCTTCTCTCGCCTTGCGTCCTTGCGTTTTCGCCCACCATGTCGCCTGACTCTCCGGTAGATCCCACGTCTGCCGCTTTGTCTCCAAAATTGCTCCAACGGGGGCGCAACGCTCCTGGTCGCGCTGCGCCCCCGTCAACAGACTCACGTCTGACTGTTGGAATCTTATAACTTGCTGGAGGCCAGTGTCCAGGGAGGGACCCAAGATCACCACCATTCTAAACTATGAAGGGGAAAAAGAAGCCAAGTTAAAAATCAACGTAGAGGTGGTTAGGGAGGAAGAGATGAGAGTGGATCCAAAACTGCAGACGGTCGTGACTGAAGCTAAGGATCGGGCCAAGTGTAGGTGCAGACGGGATGGCGTCACATCTGAGGTCCAGGTGACAGTTGTCTATCATTAGGTAGGAACTTCCACGGACACGGTGGAACGCGAGCAAACTCACCTGGACCGAGACTCGGGGGGCGAAAACGAGGTCAGCGTTGTCGGACCAAAGACCCTTACAAGGGTATTTGCCCATTCTTTTGCAGTCGACACATCAACGACATCGACTACCACGATGGGGCCGGTCTGAAATGAAAAGGGGTGTGCGCGTTTTAGTGCAGCGCTTGAAACGATTTTCTCGACCATTCGGGCCGGGCTATGTGACACCTGCGACCTAGGCCTCGAGCAATTCAACGGCCGGGGCCGAAAAAGTCGGTCGCAGCCGCGGCCGCCAGACCTACTTTGCGGCCCGATATTTCGGATATTTTTTTGGGGGTTGGGCTCCAAGGATACACGATGGAACAGAGGATCCCAGCTCTCTACCATCAACACAACAGAACACTGCAATACACATATGACTCAGGGTTGGCTATACTCCTAGTACGTAGCGTAGGGTTGAGGGTGGCATAGCAGTTCCTTAGTACGGCATGTCGAGGGTGTCAGGAGATACTGCACCTTCCCGCGGGGCCGGAACGGGCTCCAGGGATATATGAGGGAACGGAGGATCCCCAACTCTCTGCCATCAGAAAAAACACAATAGAAGTAATACAACGTAACACTGTGCACCCTCATGAAGACCTGTAGTAGCATGTTCATACCTAGCTCCCGAAGTCCCCGTGCAATCGGGCTTGCATGGCGTCTGCTTCAACCAGGGTTGAGCAGGGGGGTAGATCTCTCTGCATAGCCCGGGTGCCTGCAACCGTTGTCTGGTCAAGTCACCCTGCCAATATGGCAATGGGTGATGGTCCCGGTTGGTTAACACTAGGGTAGGGCATGGGGGTGGGGGTGCGCCAAGGCAAAATGATAAGAGGAAGGGTGGGTGGGGTCTTCAAAGGGATTTAGCTGGACAACCGAGTGACTAAGTGTTGTGGGTAACTGTCATTGGTCTAGTATCCCACCTCTACAATTCAACAACCTGGGCTTTCTAAAATATATATATATATATATATATATATATATATATATATATATATATATATATATATATATATATATATATATATATATATATATATATA